GGCCTATTGGCTCGTACATAAACACCGCCTGCAGGAAACACTGCCCCCAGTAAACACCGCCCCCAGTAAACACCGCCTCCAGGAAACACCGCCTCCAGGAAACACCGCCTCCAGGAAACACAGCCTCCAGGAAACACCGCCTCCAGGAAACACCGCCCCCAGTAAACACCGCCTCCAGGAAACACCGCCTCCAGGAAACACCGCCTCCAGGAAACACCGCCTCCAGGAAACACCGCCTCCAGGAAACACAGCCTCCAGGAAACACCGCCTCCAGGAAACACCGCCTCCAGGAAACACCACCTCCAGGAAACACCTCCTCCAGGAAACACCGCCTCCAGGAAACACCACCTCCAGGAAACACCACCTCCAGGAAACACCGCCTCCAGGAAACACAACCTCCAGGAAACACCGCCTCCAGGAAACACCGCCTCCAGGAAACACCGCCTCCAGGAAACACCGCTTCCAGAAAACACCGCCTCCAGGAAACACCGCCTCCAGGAAACACCACCTCCAGGAAACACCTCCTCCAGGAAACACCGCCTCCAGGAAACACCACCTCCAGGAAACACCACCTCCAGGAAACACCGCCTCCAGGAAACACAACCTCCAGGAAACACCGCCTCCAGGAAACACCGCCTCCAGGAAACACCGCCTCCAGGAAACACCGCCTCCAGAAAACACCGCCTCCAGGAAACACCGCCTCCAGGAAACACAACCTCCAGGAAACACCGCCTCCAGGAAACACCGCCTCCAGGAAACACCGCGTCCAGGAAACACCACCTCCAGGAAACACCGCCTCCAGGAAACACCGCCTCCAGGAAACACAGCCTCCAGGAAACACCACCTCCAGGAAATACTGCCTCCAGGAAACACTGCCTCCAGGAAACACTGCCCCCAGGAAACACCGCCTCCAGAAAACACCGCCTCCAGGAAACACCGCCTCCAGGAAACACCGCCTCCAGGAAACACCGCCTCCATTAAACACCGCCTCCAGGAAACACCACCTCCAGGAAACACCTCCTCCAGGAAACACCGCCTCCAGGAAACACCACCTCCAGAAAACACCACCTCCAGGAAACACCACCTCCAGGAAACACCTCCTCCAGGAAACACAGCCTCCAGGAAACACCGCCTCCAGGAAACACCGCCTCCAGGAAACACCGCCTCCAGGAAACACCGCCTCCAGGAAACACCGCCTCCAGGAAACACCGCCTCCAGGAAACACCGCCTCCAGGAAACACAGCCTCCAGGAAACACCGCCTCCAGGAAACACCGCCTCCAGGAAACACCGCCTCCAGGAAACACCGTCTCCAGGAAACACCGCCTCCAGGAAACACCGCCTCCAGGAAACACGGTCTCCAGGAAACACCGCCTCCAGGAAACACCGCCTCCAGGAAACACCGCCTCCAGGAAACACCACCTCCAGGAAACACCTCCTCCAGGAAACACCGCCTCCAGGAAACACCACCTCCAGGAAACACCACCTCCAGGAAACACCACCTCCAGCAAACACCTCCTCCAGGAAACACAGCCTCCAGGAAACACCGCCTCCAGGAAACACCGCCTCCAGGAAACACCGCCTCCAGGAAACACCGCCTCCAGGAAACACCGCCTCCAGGAAACACCGCCTCCAGGAAACACCGCCTCCAGGAAACACAGCCTCCAGGAAACACCGCCTCCAGGAAACACCGCCTCCAGGAAACACCGCCTCCAGGAAACACCGTCTCCAGGAAACACCGCCTCCAGGAAACACCGCCTCCAGGAAACACGGTCTCCAGGAAACACCGCCTCCAGGAAACACCGCCTCCAGGAAACACCGCCTCCAGGAAACACCGCCTCCAGGAAACACCGCCTCCAGGAAACACCACCTCCAGGAAACACCGCCTCCAGGAAACACCGCCTCCAGGAAACACCGCCTCCAGGAAACACCGCCTCCAGGAAACACTGCCCCCAGGAAACACCGCCTCCAGAAAACACCGCCTCCAGGAAACACAGCCTCCAGGAAACACCGCCTCCAGGAAACACCGCCTCCAGGAAACACAGCCTCCAGGAAACACCGCCTCCAGAAAACACCGCCTCCAGGAAACACAGCCTCCAGGAAACACCGCCTCCAGGAAACACCGCCTCCAGGAAACACAGCCTCCAGGAAACACATCCTCCAGAAAACACAGCAAGTTAAATAGATTGGAGCAACGAGATTCATATGAAACATTAAAGAAAGTTCCTGATGCAATGAACCTTGAACCTCGCTAACTATCTTTGTTAGTAGTAGTAGTAGTGATAGTAATAGTAGTAGTAGTAATATTAGTAGTAGTAGTAGTAGTGATAGTAATAGTAGTAGTAGTAATATTAGTAGTAGTAGTAGTGATAGTAATAGTAGTAGTAGTAATATTAGTAGTAGTAGTAGTGATAGTAATAGTAGTATTAGTAATATTAGTAGTAGTAGTAATATTAGTAATAGTAGTAGTGATAGTAATAGTAGTAGTAGTAATATTTGTAGTAGTAACAGTAGTGATAGTAATAGTAGTAGTAGTAGTATTAGTAGTAGTAATAGCAGAAGTATTCTTATTAAGTTATTACTGTTATTATTGTCATTATTATTATTATTATTATTATTATTATTATTATTATTATTATTATTATTATTATTATTATTATTATTATCATTAATTTAATTCATGGGTAATTTTTAAACCCGTAAGGACTGCACAACACCTGCGGAATGTGAAGCAATCAGGTGTGATCCGAAGACGGGGGAGTGGGAGAAGGAGGCGGAAGTAACTCCAGTTCCTAGGAACCAGAGCTCCCCCTCACCCCTCAAGAAAGCATCCCGCTCACAAACTCCTCAAACAAACAAACAAAAAAGTAAAGCCACAAATTTACCAAAAAATGATGAATTTCTATAAAAAAAAGTATTATTTTTCTTTTCTGGGGAACGAATGTTTTGACATTTTTTTATGATTTCAGATAAATGTTGCGTCTGTGATGCAAAGGTTGACGAGCAGTGATTTTTTGTGTCATTCTCCTGACGCAAAGGGATGCTTGAGGATGATCTTCTGAAGAAGCTGAGGCTGCACTATGTATGATAATGACTCTCTCAGCCCTTTGTCATGGAGATTCTGAGGCGAGAAGGTGTTGCTGCTGCTGCCTACACTGCTACTGCCTACGCTGCTGCTGCTGCCTACACTGCTGCTACTGCCTACACTGCTGCTGCTGCCTACACTGCTACTGCCTACGCTGCTGCTGCTGCCTACACTGCTGCTACTGCCTACACTGCTACTGCCTACGCTGCTGCTGCTGCCTACACTGCTGCTACTGCCTACGCTGCTGCTGCCCACGCTAATGCTGCCTTCGCTGCTGCCTACACTGCTGCTACTGCTTATGCTGCTGCTGCTGCCTACACTGCTGCTACTGCCTACGCTGCTACTGCCTACGCTGCTGCTGCTGCCTACACTGCTGCTGCTGCCTACACTGCTGCTACTGCCTACACTGCTACTGCCTACGCTGCTGCTGCTGCCTACACTGCTACTGCCTACGCTGCTGCTGCTGCCTACACTGCTGCTACTGCCTACGCTGCTGCTGCCCACGCTAATGCTGCCTTTGCTGCTGCCTACACTGCTGCTACTGCCTATGCTGCTGCTGCCTACGCTGCTGCTGCCTACACTGCTACTGCCTACGCTGCTGCTGCCCACACTGCTGCTGCCTACACTGTTACTGCCTACGCTGCTGCTGCCTACACTGCTGCTGCCTACACTGCTGCTACTGCCTACACTGCTACTGCCTACGGTGCTGCTGCTGCCTACACTGCTGCTACTGCCTACGCTGCTGCTGCCCACGCTAATGCTGCCTTCGCTGCTGCCTACACTGCTGCTACTGCCTATGCTGCTGCTGCTTATGCTGCTGCTGCCTACACTGCTGCTACTGCCTACGCTGCTGCTGCCTACACTGCTGCTGCCTACACTGCTGCTGCTGCCTACACTGCTACTGCCTACGCTGCTGCTGCCCACACTGCTGCTGCCTACACTGTTACTGCCTACGCTGCTGCTGCCTAAACTGCTGCTGCCTACACTGCTGCTACTGCCTACACTGCTACTGCCTACGCTGCAGCTGCCCACACTGCTGCTGCCTACACTGCTACTGCCTACGCTGCTGCTGCCTACACTGCTACTGCCTACGCTGCTGCTGCCTACACTGCTACTACCTATGCTGCTGCTGCCTAAACTGCTGCTACTGCCTATGCTGCTACTGCCTACGCTACTGCTGCCTACACTGCTGCTGCCTACACTGCTACTGCCTACACTGCTGCTGTCTACACTGCTGCTACTGCCTATGCTGCTGCTGCCTACGCTGCTGCTGCCTACACTGCTGCTACTGCCTACGCTGCTGCTGCCTACACTGCTGCTGCCTACACTGCTGCTGCTGCCTACACTGCTACTGCCTACGCTGCTGCTGCCCACACTGCTGCTGCCTACACTGTTACTGCCTACGCTGCTGCTGCCTACACTGCTGCTGCCTACACTGCTGCTACTGCCTACACTGCTACTGCCTACGGTGCTGCTGCTGCCTACACTGCTGCTACTGCCTACGCTGCTGCTGCCCACGCTAATGCTGCCTTCGCTGCTGCCTACACTGCTGCTACTGCCTATGCTGCTGCTGCTTACGCTGCTGCTGCCTACACTGCTGCTACTGCCTACGCTGCTGCTGCCTACACTGCTGCTGCCTACACTGCTGCTGCTGCCTACACTGCTACTGCCTACGCTGCTGCTGCCCACACTGCTGCTGCCTACACTGTTACTGCCTACGCTGCTGCTGCCTAAACTGCTGCTGCCTACACTGCTGCTACTGCCTACACTGCTACTGCCTACGCTGCTGCTGCCTACACTGCTGCTGCCTACCCTGCTACTGCCTACACTGCTGCTGCCTACACTGCTACTGCCTACGCTGCTGCTGCCTACACTGCTACTACCTATGCTGCTGCTGCCTAAACTGCTGCTACTGCCTACGCTGCTGCTGCCTACACTGCTACTGCCTACGCTGCTGCTACCTACGCTGCTGCTACCTACACTGCTACTGCCTACACTGCTTCTGCCTACACTGCTACTGCCTACGCTGCTGCTACCTTCGCTGCTGCTACCTACGCTGCTGCTACCTACGCTGCTGCCTACGCTGCTACTACCTACGCTGCTGCTACCTACGCTGCTGCCTACGCTGCTACTACCTACGCTGCTGCTACCTACGCTGCTGCCTACGCTGCTGCCTGCGCTGCTACTACCTACGCTGCTGCTACCTACGCTGCTGCCTACACTGCTACTGCCTACGCTGCTGCTACCTTCGCTGCTGCTACCTACGCTGCTGCTACCTACGCTGCTGCCTACGCTGCTACTACCTACGCTGCTGCTACCTACGCTGCTGCCTACGCTGCTACTACCTACGCTGCTGCTACCTACGCTGCTGCCTACGCTGCTGCCTACGCTGCTACTACCTACGCTGCTGCTACCTACGCTGCTGCCTACGCTGCTACTGCCTACGCTGCTGCTACCTACGCTGCTGCCTACGCTGCTGCTACCTACGCTGCTGCTACCTACGCTGCTGCCTACGCTGCTGCCTACGCTGCTGCTACCTACGCTGCTGCTACCTACGCTGCTGCCTACGCTGCTGCCTACGCTGCTGCTACCTACGCTGCTGCAGCCTACACTGCTGCTTACGCTGCTGCTACCTACGCTGCTGCTACCAACGCTGCTGCTACCTACGCTGCTGCTACCTACACTGCTACCTACGCTGCTGCTACCAACGCTGCTGCTACCTACGCTGCTGCTACCTACACTGCTACCTACGCTGCTGCTGCCTACGCTGCTGCTGCCTACACTGCTACTACCTACACTGCTGCTACCTACGCTTCAGCTACCTACGCTGCTGCCTACGCTGCTACTACCTACGCTGCTGCAACACATGCTTTCAAACTCAGAGAGCGGAAATGTGTTGACTATAATACAAGAAATATACTCTTGTACCTTAAATATTCTTTCTTTATTAAGATACTGGAGGGGAGGGAAGATAAACCGATAGAAAATGCGCCTTTATAAGCGGAAAGAGGTGAAAATGTAGTGAAATATACTTTATTAGGAAAACGTATATGTTCTCTTTATTACCAGAAATATGTTTTCTTTATTAGAGGAATGAGGGGGAGGGGGAAAACCGAATGGAAATATGCGTCATATATTACAGTAATGATGGAAAGTGGAAAACAGAAAAGTGGAAAACAGAAATGTTTCCTTTTAATTTTGCAAGGAGGACAACTAAGTGGAAGAAATAATCGGCGACGTTTTGCCCCTGTCTGGGAGATCAACCTTCACTGAGTCAGTAGAGAAACGAGCGGACAAACAGACATAAGGAGATGCAATACGATTCTCTCACGCTAGCTACAGATCACTCCTGAGCGAAATGGCTGCCATCACGTGAGCTATGTAGAGAATGACATAGTAATTCATTTACATTATATTTAAGAGTATAATCATAAAATCGGGGACTCTTTCCGTATTATCCGTATTTTCGTATTCCCAATTAACCTCAAACTTAACAGATTTGTGGTCACTCCCGTCAAGCTCCTCAGTGACCTGAAGATAATTATTAACGAGAGTTTTCTTACTGGATAACAACTAGTTCCAACAGAATAACTAAATGCACATTTGTGGGATACTGTGAAGAGTATATTCACCACGAGAAGTGCACATATAAACCAGTATACATACAATGAGAGTTTACTTTCATCTCTAATTTAGGGATTAAGTTACTCTTGGAGTGGTGGAGCGAAGAAGACAAGCATCCTTCAGTGACGCAAGAGCAGGCGGGTATTACAACTATCGTTTAGTGAGACTCACGGCAAGCAAGAGATGGAGGTTAATATCGATATATATATATATATATATATATATATATATATATATATATATATATATATATATATATATATATATATATATATATATATAATATATATATATATATATATATATATATGCAATAAGATCACAGTAAACAGGTGATTTCGGTGATAATGTGAGTAGTCACGAAACGCTTGGAATTTCTCTATTTTCTCAGAGTGGTTGTTTTGCATATATATATATATATATATATATATATATATATATATATATATATATATATATATATATATATATATATATATATATATATATATATATATATATATATATATATATATATGTATATATATATATATATATATATTGTAGGGTGATAGTAATTACTGAGCTGATTTTTTAAAATGTGTTGGTAGCAGAAACACTGGAAGGTAATGTGTTGCAGTGTTTTATGGTCCTGCAGCGGAGAAGCTCTCAGCTTGCTTGTGTTGCTTTTCACTTCTCTAATTTTCGTAGACTCTAAAAATACTGTTGTACTTCTTGGAAGGAAGTGAAACAGAGGGCAAGGAGGAAGAGGATTTGGGGATGGGAGGGATGGAGGTAGGAAGAGTGGAAGGGAGGGAAAGGGAGGGAGAGAAGGTGAAAGGGAGTGGGGGAGGGAGAGTGGAAGGGAGGATATCAGCAGTTCTGAGACCAGAAGGACATCACCAGCGGAAGTTACACCACAAGGACATCACCAGCTGAAGTGTAACCTCAGAGACATAACCAGCGAAAGTTAGACCACAAGGGCATTCAGGACGCTGGAGGAAATGAGGAAGACATGATGGGAACTTCTCTGCAGTGGCCAAGGACTGTCTTCTGAAGGAGAGAAGCATCAGTGAAGGAGTGATGGTGCATTACTAGAACGTCGAAGAATGCTTCAAGAGGGAGAGAACGATCAGGGAGGGAGGGATTTAGGAAGGGAGAGAGTGAGAGAGAGAGCTTGTGTAGTGTAGGATGTCTTCAAGGAGGAAGATGAATGGAGTAGTAAATAGGACATTCTTGGAGAAGTGAAGGATGACTGTAGGGAGAGGGAAGAAGGAAGGAAGGAAGGCACTAGGGAGGGTTAGGTTAGTCTTGGAGTGCTCGAAGGATGTCCTCTTCAGGAGGGAAGGATCAAGGAGTGACTGTGCTTGGAGAAGTTGCCGAGGAAGAGCTAGATCGCTCAGCTCTCCTGAGCCTAGTCAAGTAAAATCAATGTTTTCGGGTCCGGTTACAGAGGCACTGCTGCCACCAACGACACTGCCGCCACCAGCGGCACTGATGCCACCAGCGGCACTGTCGCCACTAGAGGAACTGCTGCCACCAGCGGCACTGCTGCCATCAATGGCACTTTTGTCACCAGCGACACTGCCGCCGCTAGAGGAACTGCTGCCACCAGCGGCACCGCTGCCATCAGTGGCACTTTTGTCACCAGCGACCAGTGCCATCAGTAGTACTTTTATCACCTGCTGCCATTAACGGCACTTCTGCCACCAGTGGCACTGCTGCCACCAGCTTTGGCAGGAATGCACGAAAAAAACAAATGAGGAATGAAGAAAATAGACGGCAGAGTCTTTCTTCCTAAGTAACAGAGTACGTTGTACTCCCTGAGGAGTTGAGTACGTTTTCATTGAGAGGGGTGGAAAAAATGAGCACTAGGCCTCTCGCTCTATTTTCCACTACTTCGTCAGGAGCTTCACAACCGATTCAAGGGTAAAGAGAGTAGATATCTCAGGAGTAAGTAAGTGACGTGTGAGTGACGCCGCCACGTACGCCAGGCGTAAGTGACGTGCGAGTGACGTCGCCACGTACGCCAAAGTGTTTTATCTACAGATACCTAATTACAAATAGGTAACTACAAAAAAATAGAAATAAACAGGAATCGGATGAAAAATTAGGCCCAAGAAGGCTAGGATAATTAGGAGGCACAGCCAGGAGCCATGACTCGACCCCAACAATCACAACGAGGTGAGTGCATACGCAAACCACAAACCAATAGGCGAGCGAGTACAAAAGTACATATTAGAAGATAAACCAGTAAGGTGAGTCCATGCTAAGTGAGCTAGTTGAGTACAAACTAGGTGAGTAAGTTGGCGAGTACATACAACAATCCAACAAGCAGGAAATTGTTTTTGCCTCAAAAAATTGGACAAAAGAAGAAAAAAAATAAGACAGAATGACAAAAAAACAAAAAAAACTGTGGTTTATGTGAGTGAAGGAAGGAAGCAACATAGTCGGCGGGGAAGTGATTTAATTTTCTGACCATTTCCCGCTCTTGCAAAAATTTATTGACGTTCATATGAAGGACAAATCTGACTTATGTATATGTAATTTCTCTTTTATTTTCTCAGTTTTATTATTATATATTATTATTATTATTATTATTATTATTAGTAGTAGTAGTAGTAGTAGTAGTAGTAGTAGTAGTAGTAGTAGTAGTAGTAGTAGTAGTAGCAGAATATCAGTAATAATATTTACATTATTATTATTAATAATTGAATATTAATATTTAAGATATTATCATTATTATTATTGTTATTTAAATGTTAATATTTATTAATATTATTATTATTATTATTATTAATATTATTATTCATGAACATGTAAAGGAAAACATATGTTAGTCATACATCTCAGAAACTATCAAGAAAAACAACAAAAGTATAATCAACAATGACCTTCCCCCCCCCCCCCCCCCCCGCTTTTAAAAACAAAAGCTGACGTACCAGATACTTGACTCAAACAATGGTGCAATAATAGACATGGTTGAGAGGACAACAAAAGTGACTAGCGCGAAGAGAGTAAAATAAATAAACGTAAAAGATTTCAATAAGAGTCAAATAGAATGACAGAGAGAAGATTTTTTTCCCTTACTCTACGAGGCATAAATTTTGGGAGACGTTATTTGCTCTCACCTGTCGTAGCTTAGTGATGAGAGTCGTGGAGTAAATCCTGAAGGGTGTTCCGGGGGTCAACGCCCCCGCGGCCTGGTCCATGACCAGGCCTCCCGGTGAATAAGAGCCTGATCAACCAGGCTGTTACTGCTGGCTGCACGGAATTCAACGTACGAACAGCAGCCCGGCTGGTCAGGAACTGACTTTACGAATCTACGCAATTCCTTGTTGTAGACAGACAGGAGTCTATAGGTTATCTCTCTCATGTATGCTAGGAGGATGTTGAACAGTCCTGGGCCCCAAACACCATTGAACTTCGTAACCTAACACCTACATGAGGAAAATGAGAATGATATTTAATATTCTGAGGAATAGGAGATAACTTCACGAGTGGTTATATTCTTATTATATTCTTGGGGAGCATTAAACCCACAGGACCCATGCAGTACCTGAGGAATGGGAAGTAATTAGGTTTCAATAGAGGAAAAAACTGATTAGATCGCTTTATTTCAACCAATCATCATTAAGACACCCCGCACTTCACTTCAAGAGTTCTTCATCATCATTAGGACACCCTGCACTTCACTTCAAGAGTTCTTCATCATCATCAGGACACCCCGCACTTCACTTCAAGAGTTCTTCAACATCATTAGGACACCCTGCCTTTCACTTCAAGAGTCCTTCATCATCATTAAGACACCCCGCACTTCACTTCAAGGGTTCTTCATCATCATTAGGACACCCCGCACTTCACTTCAAGAGTTCTTCATCATCATTAGGACACCCCGCATTTCACTTCAAGAGTTCTTCATCATCATTAGGACACCCCGCACTTCACTTCAAGAGTTCTTCATCATCATTAGGACACCCCGCACTTCACTTCAAGAGTTCTTCATCATCATTAGGACACCCCGCATTTCACTTCAAGAGTTCTTCATCATCATTAGGACACCCCGCACTTCACTTCAAGAGTTCTTCATCATCATTAGGACACCCGCACTTCACTTCAAGAGTTCTTCATCATCATTAGGACACCCCGCACTTCACTTCAAGAGTTCTTCATCATCATTAGGACACCCCGCATTTCACTTCAAGAGTTCTTCATCATCATTAGGACACCCCGCACTTCACTTCAGTATCTCTTCATCATCATTAGGACACCCCACACTTCACTTCAAGAGTTCTTCATCATCATTAGGACCACCCCGCACTTCACTTCAAGAGTTTCTTCATCATCATTAGGACACCCCGCACTTCACTTCAATAGTTCTTCATCATCATTAGGAC